AAATAGCTAACTAGAATTATTCATTTAAAAATATTTTTAAATGTTTGTTCAATCTCTCACAGTGTAGTTTCACATATGTGAAACGATGATGTACATGTACAATAAATCTAAGCCGATTTAATAAAAGGCATTAAAAATATATATTTGCCGAATGAAAAATATGAAATCGGCACAAAGTCAGCATCAGCAGGAACAAGGGTCCTTTCATTTCCCTTTCTCCGCACACACACAGGCTCACACACACTGGCATACACTCAAGTTGATTGGAAAAGTGGCCGCCTCTGGCTGAAAAGGGATGAAGAAGCCCATAAATGATGTAGCCCCTAAATGAACACACATCCCTTGGAGATTAAGGAGCTGGGAGGGGAAAGGGCATTGTGGAGCAGATGATGGGGAAAACGAATCAAAGGCTAACTGACCGCCCACGCATGATTAAAAACTTGAGTTTAGGGACCTTCCTTGGGGGAGTGGCTGGGTAACTGGGTGGCTGGGTGGCTGGGTGGCTGGGGAAGCCCAGGCCGTGCACCTTTCAAGATGAGTAAATGAGCACTGAAGCGTTCAAGATTATCAATATGCATGAATGCGGCGACCAAATTGTAGTTAAGTTCAAGTGGACACCCAAGCTGGGATCCAAAGGAAAAGGAAGATGTGATATGGGTATTGCGTGATTAAAGGGGAATGCTCGCCTGCTAAATGAAGCATTTATCCACTCACTTGAGCAAAATGTGACGCGTGGAGGATTCGATTGCGCAGAAATTCTTTCTGCTCCTCTGATAAGCGAATCAGGCCATCGAGTGTGCTTGTGCTCCTTCAAGGACTGCCAGGATTCGCGGCACGAGAAAAAGCCAGTTCTTCGAGGTACCAAGACAGATTTCGATGCGCAGTCTGCTGTTTCACACCTGCCCATTATCCCATCGTTAGTTGTCTCCGGCACTTTCCCAACACTTTGGGGAGCAGCAAATGGGACAACCACAAAAACATGCAAAGAGCATTTCAACTTTTACCTAGGCAGCTCGGTAATTCAGCAAATATGTAAACAAGTTACCGAAAATCCACACATATACAGGTATAAATGATATAACATATAAATGATATATTCAACTACGCACCGCACTCTGTGTCGTTTACATGAAAAACTTTTGTTGTCGAATCTTTCCAACATCAAAACATTTTCTAGTTTGACGATGACGTCGGTTTATTCCAGTGGATATTATCAAAAAGCTCAGGCTCCAACAACAAGCCAAATGGGGCGAACAAAATCTAAATCATATTTTCCTGATAATTTCCACAGCCTGGGATTAATTTATTTATTGCTATTGACCTGCCAAGCCAAATCCGATTACGGTATTAGTTGAATTGTTTTCAGAAAAAAGGGGATACTTTAATAATTTGAATAGATTTTTGTAACAGAAAATAAAGGCATTAAATGTGTAATTAGAGCATCGCCTTTCATACTTTACGCTCCCTAATTGCAAGCAGGCACAGAAAAATGAGACAATCGATTTTAATCAAAAGATATTTCTGCAGTAACCAGCTCTACCAACTATTATTTCACCACAACTGCTATAATAAATTTATTGCAATTCGAGTTTCTGTGGTATTGCTAATTATATCGACCAACAGCCATTCCAATCCTTTAGTATATTTTTTTCACGTTTGCAAAATATAAATAAAAGGAGAATTTTAGTTAGTTAACTGGTACTGGAAGATTAAAATTGTGATCCAATTCTTAAGAGCTGTCGCAGTTTTCCTATCTATACAAATCAGGAACAAGTTCAAGGAACATTAAAACGTATTTCTAGATAGTTTTAAACAGAAACAGTTTTGAAACAAGCTTTCATCGCGTAGTGGTCATTAGAATCGGCATTCCTTTTCTCAAATTTATTGATTTTATAGCTCCCGATACCTCGCAGTTCATAAACACATACTGACATTTTTGGATCGACACGTTTAGTGATCCTGGTCTTATATAGAATATAACATAGGGTGGGAAACGGTTTTTCCAGCTGTTACATACTTACTTTGGTCCACGAGTAACGTATATAATATAATAATATAATATCCATCTTTATTCTTTCAGAGAACGTCCCTAGATTTCACTTTTTGGTGCTCGTGGTGTGTGGCTCTCAACTGAGATATTTTTGGTGATAACCTACAGATCCGTATCAACAGAGCCCATTTTCACAGCCTATACGACAATGGTCAGCTCAGCTACGATGAATTAATTTTGCACAATACTGGTCAACTGCAAGCAATTAGTTTCATTGTAGGAAAAGTTAGATATATTTGATTTAAAGGTAGGCGCTCGATAGATAGCTGTATTCGAATAAGCTCCAGTGTGAGCACACAGCTCCATTTCCAGCTTACTGGCATCCAAAGTGTAAGGGGGCTTTTCGGTCGAGTGCTGTGCTCGTAAAAGAAAGCCGCACTGGGAGCCCAGCAGGAAGTGTTGAAACTCGCACTTTACCAGACTCACCAATGCCACACACACAAAAAGTGTGGCTATCATGTCGTATACTCGATTTCGAGAAGGGCACTGGGGCAGGTCCTGTGGAGGGGGTAATAACTACGCACAGCATTTTGCTGAGCCAGTCTTGGTTTTAATTGCGGCTGGTGAAGCTGTTGCTGGCCACATAACCGGAAAATATATGCAGGATACGAGCGGTTTATGTACCGTTATGAAGCTGATACCCACTCCCACGCCCACTCGCCAACAATTTGTGTGTGGGCGTTGGCTTTTATGGGCCTAAGCGAGCTTTCGAATGCTAGTTATGTAATCTGTCCAAAATATCCGTCTGCAATTAAAAACATTTTCGAGTCGTTTATTCTGGCTTCGGCGAGGAGTCGAACATAACATAGGGAAGGGGAGCTCAGCAGAGGGATCGGATGAGCGGCTATTTGGAAATGTCTAACCAATTTTGTGGATTTAGGCTTATGAATTTATCGGAATTTTTATAGCCCACTTTTATAGCCTCTGCAAGAATGAGGGCGCAAAGGGAGGACGAAAATTGGTTTATGAATACTAATAACAGTTTTAGGCGAAAATAGGTGTAGTTAATTCTGAGATTAGTTTCGGATTTGAAATTCTAATTAGTTCATGCAAAATACGAAAATCTATTTGGCTTTTCCCAAGCAAGCAGTTTTCAGGGACCGGAGCGAAATCAATTAGAGAATCCCATCCCCCCATCCCCAAATACTGCCCCAACAAATGTACACTTAAAATACTTTGCCTATGTAAACTAATCAAATGCCAAACTAAAATCCTTCTGGCTGTGAGGCCGATTCCGGAATCCTCGTCAATAGCAACGGTTTCAAATTAATTAATAAAATTCTTGTTTCAAGTGGGGCAGCTTACAAACAAGCAGGCAAACTACAAATGAAGGCCGCAGCCCGCTCTTGGCCTGCTCGGTTGGGAAAAGACTTGCGTTGGAAATGAATGTTGGTCAAGAAGTTGCCACATGCAACTGTGTGGCACGTGTGTGGTCCTGCTGTTCCCCAAAATGCCCTCTAACAGTCAACCCCGTCAGAAACTGTTCGTTTGCCAAACCAAACAGCAAATACTTCAATAAACGAAATTAAATATTTGAGCATGGAATGAAACATTTTGCTCAGCTTCTAAGGCGGACACAACCGGGTAAATCGAAAAAGAATTGAACACTTTATGCCTCGTATTGGCAACAAATTAAATAATTGCTGCAAAAAGTTTGCCGTCTGCAAATATTTTGGCAAATAAACGTAAATAAACCATTGGCTTTCTCTTGACGCTTTTTCGGGATTGTTCGCATTTTTGACCAAATGTTGGCTTTCTGTTAATTCACTATAGACATCCTTCCCACCAGTGCTGGCCCCTTGATCATCTCCGACTTTTGTCAAATATTTTGCTTGCCACATTGTTTACCTTCTGACCCCGCCTTGTTGCTCCTTAATTAGACTTTAATTGGGCAATTGTAGCCATCTCTGGCGGGTGTAACTCATTGGCGTTTTTGGCGAGATTGAGCCTCGGGTGCAAAACCAACACCTTTTTGATGTCTCTGACCCTGGGCGAAGGAGAAAAGGCCGCGTGTTGGCCGTGAATCAAACTAATTAGGCGCAAACTTAATTAATATTTGATGAATTTTTTGACCGTTTGTCTTGTTGCCATGACGGCTCCGCAAAACTCGCTCCGGACCTCCTCAGGCCTAAGTGGTCCTCGTCATTTGCCTGACGACAGACAGAAACATAATGATAACTTTATAGGATATTTCGGGATTGGACTTCATTTGGATGAGACGGAAAACATTTGATAAACTTGTCGCTAGGCAGGTGCCAGCGCAAAAAGGACTCGCATTATGCCTACTGGCTTTTTTTTGTGGGCGTGCGGAGCGATTCAAATCTCAAAATGGTAAGGTGAGACGAGGCGTAAAAGTTTTTCTAATGTTTATTGGCGAACTTTTTCATTTTTTACAACTTCTATAAAAGTTTACGCCGTACATTTCCAGCCCCCCGACTGCATTGTGCCTTTGTCGTCTAGGTTCGTCCCCGGTCATTTTAAAGTTTAAATTATACCAGGGGAGAGTCGGAGGTCTGAGTGGTCTGGAATCCAGCGATTGTCAGCACATTAGGCCTACGAAGTTGGCGAAGTGGAGTGGAGGGAAGCCTTACTTTGAATTAAACTTTTATCGCATCAATTCCGAAGTTTTCCCGCGTTTCCCTGGCAAAGTTTCATTGTTGGAGAATTTTCAGATATTAATTCCTTTATTTAAATTCCCCCTGGTCGCCGAGATAATGCGAATAAGCGCGATTGTACTCAACCGAATGGGAATAGGTGCCACTTACCTGCAAGGGATAGAAAATGTATGAAAATTACTTCGAAGTTCATAGCCAAAGAAAACGATATTTGCTGATAATAAGAAGCAAACTGCAATGCAAGCTTTCGTTATTCTACAATTTTTCCCTTAAAACTCTCATTGAAGTAGTATGGCATTTACCCTTCAAAGTCTGATAAACTGTTGTATATTTTTCAGAAGCCGCACCATGATTTGCATGCCTGCTCTTAACCTTCTTTTCTACAACGGCCTGTTGGGCTATTTAGTAAGGGAAATCACTCAAATCATCAATGGTAAGTACTTCGAAGGACCATCTCCTGGTTACTGAATCCTCTCCAGATTCTTCGGCCAGGACAAGTGTCTGGCAGCATATTCCTATTATCGGCAGGATCTTCGCTCCTGTACAACTGCAAGCTCTTAATGCAGAGGAGTTCGGGGAGAACCTGTGGGACCTCAACCCATATGTAAACATCTTGCTGCTTCTCCCAGCACTCTTTCAGGTAAAACTCTCCATGCGAGGTAGGTGACCACATTAATGTGCCCAATTCCCAACCAGAGCCATCACTTCACCATGGTGATGGCGCCGATCCTCATGTTGAACTTCTACGTTTACCAGTGCCTGGGTGCGCTCCACCTGAAGCTGATGTGGCACTTGTGGTGGAGCGACCTCTGCTGGAGCTACTATGCTCCGCTCGTCTTTTTCGGATTGCTGATGAACACGCTGCACTTGAGTCTGATCATAGGAGCTCTGAAGGCTCAGCTGACGATCGACAGTGACCGCAAACCCCGGATCATGTCTGAGTATTTCCCTGAACAGCAGCAACTTGCCGGAGAGGAAAATTCGGGAGAGAAGGACAATGGCCCAGAACATTAAACACTGGAAAACCTTAAACTGAACGGCGCTCCACAGGCTCAACCGCCCTTAACTGGGTCGCCATCAGTCAGGTGCTTAACCTTGCCACATCTACAAATACTGGGTCGGTGGTTCAACTAATAAATATGCCAGAAAACGCAAGACACACAGATACCCCACACGCACACACCAGCACACTGCCACACACTGCCGCACACTGCCGCACACCAGGACATGTACAAATGAATCGCAGCTGAAGGCCGGCCGAGCATCGGGAAATAAAACCATTAAATATTTGCGGTTAAACGCACCAAAAACAAACCGCAAAAGTAAATCATATCTAAAACAGACATGGACGTGGCCAAGCATCCGAGGCAAGGAATTTCTCTTGCCGCCCCCAAAAGTCGTCCGGAACTCAACTCGTAGGCAAAAAATTAGATTAGAAATTAGAAAGGCATGGACTTGGACTCGGACTCGGACTCGGACTCGGATTGTATTGGGATTGGGATTGAGCAGGCAGCAGACCAGAGCGCCATTACATTGGGCAGGGAGGGGGTGCAGGCCAGGAAACTGGTTGCCTACGGCCTGCCAAAAATTCCAAATAGTCCATGGCCGACAAGCATAAATCATTGAAACCGACATTTCACCATTTGACTGGATTTGTGTATATATGCCAAAGGTTTGGCCACTTCTTGGGGAGGAAAGTGTTTTTTGGTGGGCGAGGAATTTGCGTAAGATATCCCTCGATGCCAAGCAACTTCCGAGACCCTCGCCCCGGAGTCGAAATATGGATCCTTTAATATGGGTGACCTTTAATAGTTCCTCGGAACTAGAATTCGCTGTCTCTACCCCAGCTCAATTGCTACTAAAAGCCAGTTTCCTTCAGTTGCTGGGAAAGATGCGCCCGTTTCACTTTCGGTCAAATTAAAATAATCCCAAGACATGTCAGCAAAATAACGACATCTGAGCCACTCGAATTTTTATATATATTATTACCTTTACAATACAGCGAACCAGTTGGAAGTTGTGACCTGGTGGAGAACCGCCCATGGATTTTATGACACCCTGGCTTTTTTGGGGCGTCTAACAATTTCACAAGTTGGCAGTGCCGAGTCGTAAATTCCCAGTTTATCTTTTTGAACTGAAATTCGTCCCCGTCCAATTCACCAGTCCAATATGTCGACGATAAAGCTTCTGCGAACCTCCAGCCACAACGCACTTCGGACCAGCCGCGGATGGTGCCGCCATGCCGCCTCCAGACCACGCTACGACTACGACCTGGTGGTGCTCGGCGGAGGCTCGGCGGGATTGGCGTGCGCCAAGGAGGCGGCTGGCTGCGGTGCCCGCGTGCTCTGCTTCGACTACGTCAAGCCCACTCCAGTGGGCACCAAGTGGGGCATTGGCGGCACCTGCGTGAACGTGGGCTGCATCCCAAAGAAGCTGATGCACCAGGCCTCGCTGCTGGGCGAGGCTGTCCACGAGGCAGTGGCCTACGGCTGGAACGTAGACGACAAGAACCTGCGGCCCGACTGGCGCAAGCTGGTGCGCTCCGTGCAGAACCACATCAAGTCGGTCAACTGGGTGACCCGCGTGGATCTGCGCGACAAGAAGGTGGAGTATGTCAACTCGATGGGCTCTTTCCGCGACAGCCACACCATCGAATACGTGGCGAGTACGAGTCCAGGTGCCGAAAGCCGGCAGGTGACCTCAGAGTACGTGGTGGTGGCCGTGGGCGGAAGGCCGCGCTACCCGGACATTCCCGGAGCCGTTGAACTCGGCATCACCAGCGACGACATATTCAGCTACGAGCGAGAGCCGGGTCGCACCCTTGTGGTGGGCGCCGGATACGTGGGTCTCGAGTGCGCCTGCTTCCTCAAGGGACTCGGCTACGAGCCCACTGTCATGGTGCGCTCCATTGTGCTGCGCGGCTTCGACCGCCAGATGTCCGATCTGCTGGCCGCCATGATGACTGAGCGCGGCATCCCCTTCCTGGGCACCACCATTCCCAAGGCTGTGGAGCGGCAGGCGGACGGGCGGCTGCTGGTCCGGTACCGCAACACAACCACCCAGGCGGACGGCAGCGACGTATTTGACACCGTGCTGTGGGCCATCGGTCGCAAAGGCCTGATTGAGGAACTCAACCTGGAGGCCGCCGGAGTGAGGACTCAAGACGACAAGATCGTGGTGGACGCCGCAGAGGCCACCAGCGTGCCCCATATATTTGCAGTTGGGGACATCATATTTGGGCGACCAGAGCTAACGCCGGTGGCCATCCTGGCGGGCCGCCTGCTGGCCAGGCGCCTGTTTGCCGGAGCCACGCAGTTGATGGACTATGACGACGTGGCAACCACAGTTTTCACTCCGCTGGAATACAGCTGCGTCGGCATGTCGGAGGAAACGGCGATCGCACTACGCGGAGCTGACAACATCGAGGTATTCCACGGCTACTACAAGCCCACAGAGTTCTTTATTCCCCAGAAGAGCGTGCGCCACTGCTACCTCAAGGCCGTGGCCGAGGTATCCGGGGACCAGAAGATCCTAGGGCTGCACTACATCGGCCCAGTCGCCGGCGAGGTCATCCAGGGCTTCGCCGCAGCCCTCAAGTCCGGCTTAACCGTGAAGACCCTGCTGAACACGGTGGGCATCCATCCCACCACCGCCGAGGAGTTCACCCGGCTGTCAATCACCAAGCGATCTGGTCGCGATCCTACTCCAGCCTCCTGCTGCAGTTAGTGCCGTGCCTTGGCGATAAGTGTCCTGTGGTGAGAAACGAGGCATTTTCCTCCCACTTCAGTGTGTTCCAGTTTAGTAGTCCGTATCTGCTGCCAATTTTTGATATCAACCTCCGACGAGAAAGGCCTCCCACCAAAAAACTTATGCACCTCTGTAATTGGTATTTTGAAAATTGGGTATTTGATGGTGCAGAAAAAAATACATTTGGCGATTCAAAAGCGACTTCTTCTATACCCGTTGTATTCTAGGGTATTCTAGATTCTTTGAACGTATGTAACAGGTAGATGGAATTTGGGATGAGGCTGCTGATTGTAGAGACGTAGACGCACGCCCACACTTTTAAAATATGTTAGGATTTTTTTATTGCTTGTCTTACCAGGTTTTAGGGAAATTAGGTTTTAGCCCATTCTAACGGCTGTTAGCCGCAAAAGCTGTCACGCACACAGTTTTTGGCTTGATTGCTATTTATTTGGCAATTGCCATCGATATGCCAAACAAATTTTGAAACTTCTAATTTGCCATCCCACTAGCTGGCAGTCAAGGAACTCGACTGGAGCATTCACTCTTGTTTAAACTTTAAAATAAAGATTACATGAAATAAAATCATTCGAATTTGTGAGTTGGTTGCACGAATTTCATTTATTTGCACATTTTTAGCCATAGAATATAAATGGACATAGCAATATCGACTTGTTTGTTGGTATTGATCGGTATAAATACACTTTATATGGTCGCAAATGTGGCCCAATATGACTAGAATTAATATAGCCTCTGCAGGGACATACAAATATATACTTTTGGCCAATCTAATAGTTATAGCGGTGCTGAAAAAGGATCTATCCATGTCCCAACCGAATATGAATTGCATTTCGCTGACGAATTGCTCGCTGGGATGTGTGGCCACGTTCCTTTGATTTGACACTTTATTATAAATGACAGAGCCGCACTTAGAAAGTCGGGGAGCAGTGAAAACGCACAGAGCGAATGCCATTTTTGACATATGAAGTTTTAATTTATGAAGTTGGTCGTGAAAAACACTTTGTTCCCCTGGAGGTAACCTGCGTATCCGTTTCCGAGTCCGGTGGCGTGTCAGAGACCCGGAATCTTGCGAGTGGCGCCACAAACTGGGCCACGCCCACCCACCCACACACACAATGGCTGCTCGTGGCACGGCAACAACAAACAACAAGGATGAAAAAATGTTGATTAATGTTTACTTCCGATTTGCATAAATCTTACTTTAGCATTTTGGGCTTCTCTCGCTCTCGCTCTCGCTCTCGTTCCTAGGCTTCCTATATTATAAATTACTTTTTTATTGCAGCTGGCCGATTTTGGTCCCGCTTGGACGCCGTGTGCTCCTCGGCTGAATTGTTTGCCCGGCGTTATTTATTCGTTTGTTTGTGCCGGTCATCAGAGGAGGGTCTGACCAGGTGGGCCGGGATCCAGGTCAAGGCGGTGCATCTGCCCGTGAGCTCCGCGCTCCCACAGGCTCCGCCGTAACTTTTCGATTAGCTTTGCCAACTCATTTAACAAATGGTCTGGCTGACAGTAAGAAATATAACAAATTTAGCCGGCCATCGGAAGAAGCTGGTAGTTTTCATTGCAACACCTTAGAATCATAAATTGTGACCTGAACGCCCAGCTGCAGCTGCACCGGGCTGGAAAAGTTTTGCTCATCCCGAAGTTTGGCTGTAAGTTAAAGCACCCGCGGGTAATTTGATAAAGCGTAAAATTCTGCACTTAAACTATTTTCATCTTCAGCACCCCCATCTGCAGTCCGGAGTCCCGAACCTGGAGCCCGGAGTTGGCATTTGGCAATTGCATTGTTGCTCCTATTATTGTTCTCCGGTTTTCGGTCATTGGCAGCTGACCCAGTGGTCAGGGGGGTGCAAGGCGGGAAAGTCTTGAATTACAATACGGGAAAGTGCGGAAAAGTTTCTCTGATTGCGTGTCCAACTGCTCGGACCACTGCTCCTTCTCTGGCTCCCTCTCCAGATTGAGTGCTCTCGAGTGCGAGGCGGCACGTTAATTGTGGCAAGTGGCAAGTTTATCGGAAGAGAATCGCTGGGAATTATGTGTGTGTGGGTGGCGGTGGAGAGGGGGAATCACAATGCCCAGCCCCGGGCGACACCTCGATCGCACAACTTGTTTGCGAAATTGTGCAATCAGCGCTGGAACAAAGCCCGGTGCCGTCGCCTCAATAGACTAAAGCAAATTAAAAATCTCATTTAAATTAATCCCCGTCGAGGGTCCTTGCCCGGCACTTCAGCTTCCTTTGATGGGAAGACGGACGGTTGGCGCCCTCATCAACGCATTGCCAACAATCCCACTTTGGGCGCGCAACCACAGCAGCTTGTGGTTACTCGGTGGGCGTGGCTGCCCCAGCCGCACAGTGTGTACTCTCGATCGGGAGAGGGAGGGGAGGGGGGAAGCCTAAGA